CCGCTCGTGGCCCTGTCCACGGACGCGGGCTGGGCCCCACACGTCCAGGTGGAGAGTCTGCAGGGGAGCCTCTGTGGGAGGGAACGAGGAGGAGTGAGGAGCGGTGCGCTGCCGCCCCTCGACACAGGGAAGACAGGGAGGAGCAGGCGAGGGTGGGAGGGGAGGGAGAACCCTGGGAAGACCAGAGACAAGGACACGGCGGTGCATGCTGCGAAGGCGCTGCACCGAGGGGTGACCAAGGCGGTGGTGCCAAAGGATGGTCTGGTGCGACAAGGCGCGACACGAGCAGGGGGCCGACAACTGACCTGACGCAGACGCAGACGCAGCTACCTGAGGAGACTCAGTGGTCAGTGTGTACAGGCCCGACCCCGGCTGCCGAGTGAAGGTAGCCAGGTGACGACCCGTCTGAGCACACGTGCAGTGTGTCACACGCTCGTAGGCAGGGGTGAACTGGTGAACACCCGCGTCCTGGAGCGCAGAACCCGCCACCAAGTTCGTAGAAAACGAGGGGAGGTAAAGACCCGACAGTGTGCCGGACGGGACAGCAGGACAGGGGAGGACAGTGGTGGAGGTCGCACGGACTGGACCCCCAGAGGGGTCTGCCAGAGAGACTGCAATCGGCCGACTGAGCGGCGTGAGGGTGGTGCTGTCGCGAAAGAAGGAGCGAGAAGCACCGGAGTCAAGTGTGAAGGTGTAAAAGGCCTCAGCAGGCGCAGTACCAGAGAGAGCAGTCTCACCAGCACCTAGGGCAGCAGCCTCACCAGCACCTAGGGCAGCAGCCGCACCAGCACCTAGAGCAGCAGGCTCTATACCTGGGTCAGGCGGTACGCACAGGTAACAGACACCGTCAGCACTAGTAGGCAATGCATACATGGCAGTGAGAATAGCATCATAGTCAAGAGCAAATACATCCACCCTCTGCCTAAGCAGCTCCAGCCAGGTGGGGAGCTCAGCCTCGTCGCCAAACTCGGTACGCCAGGCGTCGCTCAGACGGGCGAAGCAGCGGGACTGTGTGTGACCAGGTGTCCCGCAAGGCTGACCAGCCCGATCACCTGTGCGAATGACGTACGGGCAGCGAACGGGACTCAAAGACCCTCTACTCTGAGCGTACCACTCGTGAAGCTGCTGGGAAGTAAGTGTCTCGCGTTGACGCCGCTGCAGCTGCAGCTGACCACTGCCAGACGCTCCCAACTGACCAGCTCCAGGGCGACAGCTACGACGGCTACCGCCACAACCCCAATTAGCATACCACTCACGAAGCTGCTGGGGCGGGAGAGACTCGCGTGGATGTCGCTGGAGCTGCATCTGGCCACCGGCAGTAGCAGCAGTAGCAGTAGCAGTAGCCTAGCAGTAGTAACAGAAGGAGCAGCAGTAGCAGCGCGGGCAGGGCAGGCGCGGCAGGCAGGCAGGCAGACAGGCAGGCAGGCAGGCAGGCTGGCAGGCAGGAAGATGGCGCGGCAGCGCGCTAACAAGGCAGGTGCTCACCAGGCGGGAAGGGCAGGCGCACGCCGGGCGAGCAGGGCCGGCGCTCGGCGGGCGGCTGCTCTGGGTCCAGGGGCGGCGTCGCGGGTCCAGGGGCGGCTGCACGGAGTCCAGGGGCGGCTGCTGCAGGGGCCAGGGGCGGCTGCTCTGGGTCCAGGGGCGGCTGCTCGAGGGTCCAGGGGCGGCTGCACCAGGGGCGGCTGCTTCAGGGGCCAGGGGCGGCTGCTCGGGGTCCAGGGGCGGCTGCTCCAGGGGCGGCTGTTGCAGGGGTTAGGGGCGGCTGCTCTGGGTCCAGGGGCGGCGCTCGAGGGTCCAGGGGCGGCTGCTCTGGGTTCAGGGGCGGTTGCTCTGGGTTCAGGGGCGGCTGCTCCAGGGGCGGCTGCTTCAGGGGCCAGGGGCGGCTGCTCTGGGTCCAGGGGCGGCTGCACCAGGGGCGGCTGCTGCAGGGGCCAGGGGCGGCTGCTCTGGGTCCAGGGGCGGCTGCTCGAGGGTCCAGGGGCGGCTGCACCAGGGGCGGCTGCTTCAGGGGCCAGGGGCGGCTGCTCGGGGTCCAGGGGCGGCTGCTCCAGGGGCGGCTGCTGCAGGGGCCAGGGGCGGCTGCTCTGGGTCCAGGGGCGGCGCTCGAGGGTCCAGGGGCGGCTGCTCTGGGTTCAGGGGCGGCTGCTCTGGGTTCAGGGGCGGCTGCTTCAGGGGCCAGGGGCGGCTGCTCTGGGTCCAGGGGCGGCTGCACCAGGGGCGGCTGCTGCAGGGGCCAGGGGCGGCTGCACCAGGGGCGGCTGCTTCAGGGGCCAGGGGCGGCTGCTCTGGGTCCAGGGGCGGCTGCTCCAGGGGCGGCTGCTGCAGGGGCCAGGGGCGGCTGCTCTGGGTCCAGGGGCGGCTGCTCCAGGGGCCAGGGGCGGCTGCTCCAGGGGCGGCGTAGCTGGTGCAGGGCAGCGCGCGGGTCCCACAGGTGCCGTGACGGGCGACGGGGGGCAGCGCGTCGTCACGGGAGGAGGCGACGCGCGGGGCCGGCGGCAGGCTAAAACGAGGCCGGAAAACGGGCTACGCGGGCGGCGGACGCAGCGCGCAAGGCTTAAGCGGGCCGCGCTCGGGCGGCTTACGCGACGCGCGGGCCGGCGGCAGGCTGCGCGGGCGGCTGACGTGGCGCGCGGGGCCGAAAATGTTGAATTATATTGCATATCCTAACTGCCTACAGCTTGCTAGTGTATTAGTTAGTTATTAGGTTCAACTGCTGGTGGTGTACCCTATCCTCTCCCCTATCCTATATCTTGTAAACATTCCTTAGTGAATCCCCTCTTTGCCCAATTCTCTTGCCATGCTCACTCTCGACACTCACGCTTCCTAGGTAAACCCTAAGTTACTAAGTCAAGAGTTAAGAGCGTGTTCTGACATGATATCAGAGAGTGGTCCCTCCTAGGACCTCGTTTTCATGGGCCCACCAAACCCGCGATCTGCCATGGCGACTTATTGTGCTGCTGGCATGGCTGCTACTGCTAGTAGCGCGAAATCCGCTGCTGGCTCGAACTCCGCTGCTTTTGCAGCACCCGTCGCGCTGCCCCCTTTCGCCTGCCCCGTCGCGCTCTGCCAGTGGCGAGCGTGCCAGCGAGGCGACGGCGGGCGCCAGCGCAAGCGCCAACGGCGGGCGCCAGCGCCAGCGCCAACGGCGGGCGCCACCGCCAGCGCCAACGGCGGTCGCAAGCGCCAGCGCGGACGCCAGCGCCGACGGCGGGCGCTAGCGCAAGCGCCAACGGCGGGCGCCAGCGCCAGCGCGACGCCAGCGCCCAGCGCCAGCACTTCCGCCAGCGCCAGCGCATGGGGGGGAGGGGGATGAGGGGGTGGCGGGAAAGCTTCTGCCGCGCCAGCCACCTCCTCTCCTCTCCTCTCCTCTCCTCTCCTCCTCCTCTCTCCTCTCCTCTCCTTCTGCCGCATCTCCTCCTCCAGTCTCCTCTCCTATAGCCGCATCTCCTCCTCCTCTCTCCTCTCCAGCCGCATCTCCTCTGCTCTCCTCCTGTGCACCACCACCAGCTTCCTCCTCCTCACCAACAGTTGTGTTTGCTCGTAGATGGCGAGCGACCAGCATCCTTCGCCCTCCGGCTATCCCAGCCCTCCTCCGCGCTCTCCGCGCCCTCCTCCGTTCTGGCGTTCACAGGTGCTGCCGCTCAGCCACCGCTGTTTCTGTGCCTATCCCAGCTACAGCAACCGCTCTCCAGGCGACCTGGTGCCAGACACCACTAGCTATAGCCGTAGGCAGTTACGGGGGTGTGTTGAATTATATTGCATATCCTAACTGCCTATAGCTTGCTAGTGTATTAGTTAGTTATTAGGTTCAACTGCTGGTGGTGTACCCTATCCTCTCCCCTATCCTATATCTTGTAAACATTCCTTAGTGAATCCCCTCTTTGCCCAATTCTCTTGCCATGCTCACTCTCGACACTCACGCTTCCTAGGTAAACCCTAAGTTACTAAGTCAAGAGTTAAGAGCGTGTTCTGACAGAAAACAGGCTAAAAACGAGCCTAAACGGGCCGCGCGCGGGCTGTTTAAGTAGCGCGCGCGGGAAAAAAAAGAGGCCGCGCGCGGGCAGCCGAGGCCCGCGCGGGCAGCAGGCAAGGCAGGCAAGGTAGGCAAGGTAACGTTGTAGTGGGTGGGCCCTTATCTTAGGTCCTAAAGACCTCTAGGCTCTAGATACCATCTTAGACTTAGAGGCATGAAGTTGTGTGTTTTTATTAGGTCAAGGGGGGGTACAAGAAAATGTCGAGAGAAATGTTGTACCCCCTAGTGCTAACCCCCATATAGCCTAGACAACCTAAACATAACATATAAATATAACTTGACATTCGCGTGTTGCGGCTACCACCGGTAGCATGTAACGAAGTTGAAATGCTTGACATGTGACAAGGGTTTGCTTTGTCTGGCAAGGCAAACCTGCCTGACACAGGATATGCTGATGCGTGCAATACATTTGACAACCTAGAAGTATAATTACCTATTGTAAGTGTATGTGTAACATTGAAAGATCAGTAACAAGTATGAAGTATCATGTTAGTTCCCGAAAGTTATAATGAACTTTGGCTGGAGCTGCACTTACAGAAGCTCGGGGTGCGGAAGCAGCAATTACATACGCTGCAGCTGCAAAAGCCACAGGATTAGCCACAAGATTTTCTACAATACCTACTCCCCGCATCTTAACACTACACATAAGACCGTCCATACCCCCACAACAACGTGTGTTACCCCATTCTTCCAGCAACCTCCACAGCATCCACCACCCAAGAGGTAATCACAAATGCTCAAACCAGCCCCTCTTCAACCCTTTTTAACCCCATCTTCCTCAGCCCTTCTCATCCCATTTGTTTAACCACGATCTGTCTCATCCTTCCTCATCCCAGGAGAACAAGCCGACGTAATGCATAACTTGCAAGCCCAATTGGACCATCAACCCACAAGCCAACCAACCAACAAACAAACCCACCAACCCACCAACCCACCTATCCACCTACCCATCAACCCCCCGACCTGCCTATTTCCGCTCTCTGCTGCTCCCATACCCCCTCATGGAGCGTGCATACTCAAACACAGACACCATGCCTTCGGTCCAGATCTGAAACCAGTCTTCTGACGGTGCTCTCGCCACTATGGCCCCTGCAGAGGTCTCCATGAGAAACTCCCAGGAAGCTGCGTTGGTGGGTTCGGTGGAAAGCAGCTGGGCTGTGTGGTGGTGATGTGTGTAGGCGGGAGGCATGGGGGAGAGGTACATGTGGGATGGGACATTGATTTTTGTGACAGAACAACTTTCAAGGCACATCGAAAGCTGTGTTGGTGGGTTCGGTGGAGAGCAGTTGGGCTGTGTGGTGGTGATGTGAGTAGGGGGGAGGCATCAGGGAGAGGGAGGGGTGGAGTAATGAGATTGTGGGTGGGGCAAATGAACGGAAGGAGAGGAGGAGAACTGGGATGGGATACTGACAGGAGGAGGGCAGAAAGACATGGCAAAATGGGCGTAAAGAAAGAAGAATAAGAAGATCAGACAAGAAGGAGCAGTGCGGAAAAGAGAGGCCATATAAATGTCCAGATTGACAGCAGTCTTTTGGGGAGGGTTGAGGAGGAGAAAATTGGCACACGTATATGACATTCACACAGCACGTGGGCTTGCTGGCCCTATGTGCACCTTCTACTGCTCTTGTAACGTTATAGTGAAAACCCTTGATTCCTCCCTTCCAGCATGAACCAGTAAAACGCATGCAGGTATACATGTGCCTAAGTGCGCACCCGTGCGCGCACACGCACACACACACATGTCACATACGAGCAGATGCACACACTGTCTCGCTCAACACCCACCTGATCTTGCCACTTTTCCCATAAGACCTTGCTTTTCCCATTTCAGTGATAACTGGACAGCGGGAGAATGAAGAAGAGAAAATTAGTGTGCGTGAGTGTGGGAGAGGGATAGAGAGGTAGAAAGGGAGGAGAGGAAGGGGAGGAGAGAGTATGAGAAAGAGGGAGGGATGGGTGTGCGAGATAGAGTAAGCATGGCATGAGCGAACGAAAGAAAAACGAAGGGGAAAAAGAGGGGGAAAAAATGGTGGGTTAGCACATCAGCAATCCCACAACACCAGCATAGCAAAAAACTGTCAAATCCTTCCCTCCTTCCATACCCGCCCACCCTCCCCATTTCATTCACGCATCAATCCTCCATTCTTCACCACCACCACAAAGCTCCTCGGCTGACCTACTAAAAAAAGCAAAAGCCACGACAACCGAAGGAGCAGTATAACCTAGAAATCCCACCACCTCCCTCCCTCCCTCCCTTACCCACCCACCCCCCTTGGCTTCACACACGCACCGATCCTCCATTCTCCACCACCACCACGAAGCTCCTCGGCTGGCCTCTCCCCATCCCCGCTTTAGACAGCTTCACTAGCGAGCACCCCTCCTGCAACGCAGCGAGCCAGAAGCTAACTGCGACAATATCATACTCCTTTCCAGCAGGCGTGGTCACACAAGCCGACGTTAACGACTTGAGCTCCCCAACAGAGCTCTCTTTCTGCTGCTGCTGCAGCTGCTGCTGTTGCGCCTGTTGCTGCTGCTGTTGTCCAGAGGAGCGTTCTTTCATCTGCCCGGTGGCGTTTGAGAGCGATAAGGTCCGCCCTAATTCTCCTGGAAGCAACGAGGCAAACAAGTGAGAGGTCTGGGCAGCAGAAGCAGGAGCAGCACCAGGAGCAGCAGCAGCACGCGCTCCTGATGCTGTTGCTGCTGCAGCAGTGCTTTGAGTGCCATCCCTGGCGGCTGCAGCAGCAGCAGCGGCAGCTGCAGCAGCGACAGCAGCTTCAGACGCATCAGTTCCCCGAGGAACGTCGGTGGGGCATCTGAAGAGAAGTCTACTGGTCGATCGGGTTCGACGCTGCTGCTGCTGTTGCTGCTGTGCCTGGGTGTTAACGTCAGGAGGCATGGGAAGCAGACGCGGCTGCCGTTCGTGCTGTTGCTGCTGCTGCTGCTGCTGCTGCTGCTGCTGCTGCTGCTGCTGCTGCTGCTGCTGCTGATAGTGGTGTTGCTGCTGCTGCTCTGCTGCTTGCATCGATGATTGAGACGTCACGGTGTACTCAGATCGAGAGGAGTTCGACAGAGAGCTGATAGCAGGGGAGCTTTCTCCATAGGTGCCTGCAGGGGTTGGCACTAACGCCGGTGGCTTGCCTAAAGCCTCAGGAGCATGATGCTCGTTCCCAACAGCATATGATGCAAAGTTGGGATGTGATTCGGTGGGATTGAATTCGATCGAGTCTGAGCCGAATGGATTCGATGCATGCAGCGCGTTTGCCTCATAATACCCATCTGCTGCTGCTCCTGTCGCTCCTGCTCCCCCTCCCCCTCCCCCTCCTCCTCCTTTCCCCGCTGCTGTAGTGTGTAGCAGTTCTCCCCGTATTGGCTCCGCAAACAGCATCTCGCGCTTTAAATCCGTAACCTGGGATTCCGATCGCCGACCAGTGGGAAGATAATTAAGATGCACCGCCTCCATAGGCCCGACATGGGAGGTCTATCCGACGTAGCCTATCCGACGTGGCCTATCCAACGTGGCCTATTCAACGTAGCGGCCGTGGAGAACCCTACAGAATGGTAGTTACAGGAGTTAAGGATTAGTGGACGCAAACGTAGGCGTGGACGTTGATGTGCACGTACACGGCGACGGAGACGGAGACGGAGACGGTGACGGAGACGGATGTCGGCAAACGTAGACGGCAGCAGCACGGAGGCAGCAGAGCATCGTAACGGTGATAAGCGGAGGACGATGACAGGTGATACCAGTTTAATTCATCAGTAATCCGTATTTATATCAACCGCCACTAAGCAATTGCCGAGAACTGTGTGCTTTGCTTTGCTAGCGAAGCTCGACGGTCATCTAAGCAAGAGCAGATACAACTATTTCTATCGACTAAAGGGAGCCATGAACAAAATTTGGTTATCCTTAATTCGCTGCTCTCCTCTTCCCAATATCACATAGCTCTCTTAGGAGGTTAGAAAGAATCAGACTTCAACTCGCTCATACGTTTCCCTGATTGAAGCACTCTCTTCCACACTCGCTCAATCTCTACTCTTACGTTTCCGTGCAACGCCCTATCACCACTCCCATCTGGAAACAGCGCGAGGCAAAGTAAGAAGCGTCGCAATCGGCAGCGAGCACTAGGCTAGCTGAACATCTGCAATAACGCCAATTTGTTGAACATAGGCGTCACGGACAAGGGATGGAGGCGAACAGGACGGCTAGTGGAAGAGAAGCTATGGATTGGAGGAGGAACGTCCAACACAAAGCCGCTGAAGGTCTCAACGTCGAATCCCTTGCGTCCAATCCAGTCTTCAACAGACTCGCACTGTACCTCAGGGGATAACTCAGAGTGGCAGAGTGCGTTACATTACATGGCAGTGGTACGAACGAAACCGTGGTTCTAGTCATGTACCGCATCGAACCGTAATACAGCTAGACAGAACCGAATTGGATCTGTGAACGAAAACACGGACTACTGATGGGATTGGATTGAACTGGACTGAGTTGAACAGAACTTCGGAATTGGCGGCAACGCATCTGACAGCATGACACGCCCCTGTGATTTTGACTGGACACCATTTTTCATCCTCCCTTTAGAGAAGGTCTCGGAATTGTCGATTGTACTGAGAACCACCAATCAGCGGGCTTCGCGAATTTCAGAGATTACAGATACATGCAACTTAGCAGCAAGCACTACAACAATAGATATGTAGTTACTTTCAGTTCCTTCGGCCATCGATATCCAAATAGCTTCCAGCTTTCTCACTTGAAGGAATATGCTGTACCAAACCTGTCTCGTCTTTCCAGCCCTTCACCATTGTCTCAATTAACTGCATAATTTCCCCTGGGTCCGCCCTAACAGTGCCTTTCTTATTCCCTTCCCCCAACACCAAATAGTAGTTGAGATCGCAGGCTTCTGCAAGATGGTGCAAGCACGTGTTATGGTAATCCCGAGGGCGAATCTCGAGCACGGAGGCATTGGAGGGCATGAAGATGGTGTGGGAGAGACCAGCCCCATGCACCGCCACCACCAGCCGTGCCCTCCGGAACAGCGCTCGGGCTGGATGGGGGATGGGGAGGAGGAAGCGAGAGCGAGAGTTAGAAAGAGAGAAGCCCGCCCCGTGCACCGCCACCACCAGCCGCGCCCTCCGGAACAGCGCTCGGGCTGGCAGCGGCATGGGGAGGCAAAGGGGAAGCAGGAGGACGGGGAGGGAGGGGGGAAGGGGGCAAATGTGAGAGGGCCGGAACAGCGCCTGGGCTGCGGGCGGCACAGGGAGGAGGAGGTAAAGCGGGAGTGGAGGGGGGAGAGAGGGAATTGGGGAGGGAGAAGGGGTAGAGGTGTGACCATCTAGCCCTCCCACCTTGCAACCCACTCCCACCTTGCAACCCACTCCCACCTTGCAACCCACTCCCACCTTGCAACCCACTCTCACCCAGCAACCCCATCTCACCTTCCAGGATGGGCAGCGACGTGCCGTAGACCACCAGGCGGTCGCCAAAGACGTGCCTCATGCTGGCCTCCAGGTCGCCCTCTCTCTCCATCACCCTCTCCTTGCCCGGCCGCCGCACCAGCAGCACCACCCAGTCGGCGGGCAGCAGCGCCATTTGGTCATCCGTGAGGGGGGTGAGGTTTCTCTGCGTCCAGTTGCGGTGGAAGATGGGAAGGCCCTGCGGGTGCAGCAGATGCCGCCGCCGCAGGCTGTGCCATAGTCCCCGCGCTGGCACCCCGCAGTACTGCCGGGACGGCTGCACGTTGTGCGGGTGGGGGTGGAGGGAGAGAGGGAGAGGGGGAGTGTCAGAGGGAAGAATGTGAGGTTAAGACGGAGAGTGGGAGGCTGTGTGGCGGGCGTAGAGGGGGGGATAAGAGTGGGAGGGAGGGAGGGTGTGCGAGATTGGAGCCGGAACGGGGGGAGGGGATGCTGATGCTTGCACGGAGTCGTAAAAGATGAAAGGGTTGGGTGCAGAGCGCAGCACGTGGTGAGTGAGTGAGTGAGTGAGTGAGTGAGTGAGTAAGGCAACATGAGGAACTACAAGGAAGGAACTACAAGCAGCATGGTACCCCCACTTGTGGACAACAACGATATGCCCAGCCCAGTTTTGCGATGTCTCCAAGGGTTTCGAGACATCTGCAAAACTTAGACAGGCGACGTCTCCAAAACAAGAAGTTTCAAAGCAGTGGTGAGGTGAGTGGTTGACCTCAATAAGCTCGTGTGCAAAGATGAGGTGGTTCTCCTCTGGAGCTATCAGCTGCACTCTCTCCCGTGATACACCCACCAGCGGCGCCACCAACCTGTCCCAAACCCTCGCCTGCCAGCCAAGCATGCACATTCAGGCAGGCAAATTATGGCAACAATAAGCTTCCCCAAGACTTTGCAGCAACACCGAAAAAAGCCCGACTCCACACGTGCGCGCGTGCCCAAATGCACGCCCACACCCATGATCGCACTGATGCCTGAATACCCATGCCCGCACCCATGCCCGAACCCATGCCCACACCCATGCCCACACCCATGCCCGCACCCATGCCCGCACCCATGCCCACACCTATGCCCACACCCATGCCCGTAACCATGCCCGCACCCATGCCCACACCTATGCCCACACCATGCCCACACCATGCCCAAACACGCACGCGCACGCATGCTCGCACCTGCTTTGCAGAGGAGACGATTGGCACACGGATGCCCGAGAAAGCGGGCATGACGGGCGCGAGGTTGAAGAACTGCGGCACAGCCTCCACGAGCATGTGGAAGAAGGCTAGTCCCGACCCGTGCGCCCAGTTGATGGCCCAGGCTACCTTGTGGACCCGTGTGCCTGCAGGAAAGTTGAACTGGAAGAATAAAAGGTGGAGAGGGAAAACGAGGGGGAAGGAACGGGTGCGAGGTTGAAGAACTGCGGCACAGCCTCCACGAGCATGTGGAAGAAGGCCAGTCCCGACCCGTGCGCCCAGTTGATGGCCCAGGCTACCTTGTGCACTCGCGTGGATGCAGGGAAGGAGAACTGGAGGGTTGGGGGGATGGGTAGGGACGAGGAGAGGAGGGGGAAGGGAGGAATTGCGGCACGGCCTCCACAAGCATGTGGAAGAAGGCCAGTCCTGACCCGTGCGCCCAGTTCATGGCCTGGTCTACTTTGTGCACCCGTGTGCTTGCAGGAAAGTCGAACTGGAAGGATGAGAAGTGCGGAGGAAAAAGGGGGAGGGAGAGCGGTGCGAGGTTGAGTTGGCTCAAAAGACACCTTGGACCACGTTGCGCACGAGTGTGGGCGTTTGTGTGTGTGTGCATGGATGCGAGCGGGTTGGAGTAATATTCACCTCTGCATTGGCGTGGCAGCCATTGAGCAGGATCCTACATTTGAGACGTCTCAGAAAGGTGTGTGTGTATGTGTGTGTGTGTGTGTGTGTGTGCGTGTGTGTGTGTGTGTGTGTGTTCATGTGTGTGTGAGTGCAAGTTGTGAAGAGTGGTAGTCGCCACTACAAAGGCGTGGCAGCCGTTGCGCAGGAGCATACTTTTGAGTCGTCTCAAAAAACGTATGTGTGCATGCGTGCATGTGTGTGTGAGCGTGCGTGCGTGCGTGAGTGTGTGTGTGTGTGTGTGTGTGTGTGTGTGTGTGTGTGTGTGCGTGTGTGTGTGTAAGCGTGCGTGCATGCGTCTAAACATGCGTGCGTGAGTGTGTGGGTGGGTGTGTGCATGTGCCTGTGAGGGGTAGTAGTCACCTCGGCGTAGGCGTGGCAGCCGTTGCGCACGAACCTATGCGTGCGATTGAATGTGAAACCGAGGTTCGTCACAAACACGTGGTTCAGCCGAAAGATCTGGTGGTGGTGGTGGGGGTGGGAGTGGGATATTCCTGAAGAGTAGGCAAGAACAGACAAACACAGATGCACATACACACGCTCTTACACACACACACACACCCAAGTTTACACTCATGAACTCCCACAAACAAACACACAGCCACACACCCACACACACACACGTGCGCGCGCGCGCGCGCGCACACACACACACACACACACACACACCTGGAAAGCAACAGCGTCATGCAAAATAAAGTCCTCAGCATGAGAACACGTCAGATTCGCCCTCAGCCCATCCTCCCCCTCCCCCTCCCCTTCCTCCCCAATTCCGCCATCCCCATACTCCTCCCTCCGCAACTCCTTAGTAACTCTGGGGCAGTTCAGAGGCGCGCGCGAGAGCTTCTTCTTATCCGCGGAGAGCTCGGGGTTCCAGCAGGCGGCGACGTTCCCGAAGGTGTCCCCGCAGGGGGAAAAGGCGGGGCAGGCGCGGCCGTGGCAGCGCATGTGGAGGGGCGCGCGGAGGTGCGTGTTGAAGAGGTCCAGCGCGATCACGGGGAGCGCCGCGCTCTGCGCCGCCCACCCCAGGCGCCGCGCGGGCACGGGCATCCACGACGGGGGGAGCGGGCCGCGGGACTGGGGGAAGGGGGAGCGGCCGGGAAGATTGGGAGCGGGGGAGGCGGAGCGGATAGCTCGCCCCCCCGCGCGCGCTGCCTGCGCTTCCAAGTCGCCCTCATCCCTTCCACTCCCCCTTCCGCTCTTCTCTTCCTTTCCGCCTTCCGCCTCCCCCTTCTTCCATTCTCTTCCCCCCTTCGCTTTCCCCATCCCCTCCGCCTTCCCTCCCCCTTCTGTTCCCGCTTCCGCTCCCCCTTCCGCCCCCCCCAATCCCTTTCCCGCCTGCGCTAGTTCCGCCTCTATCTCATCCACGCGCCCTGCCGTATAATGTTGCGCCTTCCCATTCCCCGCAAACTTCGCCAGAGTCAGCTGTCGCCGGAGAGCATGTCCTGCGACAGCTTCTGCGACAGGTTCTGTGACGAAACGCGTGACCGTTGTCGCAGGCTGTTGTTGGCCCGTCCAGAACGCGTTTTTCCTCTGCGTCGCAATGTGGGCAGCATCGTTTGCTGACGCGACGCGTTCGAGAGCCATGGACGGCACATAGCTCGCATTTGACGAAGATAGCGAATGTAGTAACGGATTAACGAGTGGGATTTCGCCCGCGCAAATGCTGAGAGCGAGTAGTAGAAGCAGTGAGAGGCGAGGAAGCGTGGCAGTTGGATAATGAGACATGACAACAACGGGTAGTCTATCGCTATAATGATACCTTGTCTGTACACGTGACTGAATGACAGGTGAGGGGAACGGTAAGCAGTGCGGCCGAAGCCATGGGTATGGCAGTTACCGTTTAGTGTTCGCTAACGAGTGCCTCACCAAGGCGTACTGCACTGAGACCAGAAATTGTGAATACTGTTCACAAGCACTTGTGCTGCTTACCTGAAAGAGCGCTGTTCAAGCAGAGCATAGTGTACACCATATTGTGAGATCCAATGTTTGGCTTGGTAAGGAACGCCAAGGCACTTTCAATCTGCCTCCAACTATCGCTTGCTCTCATTTTTTCCAACTGTTAGATGGTTCATAATTTGTTATTTTCAACCTTACCACTGTTTTCAATTCGTGACACCAATAGACAAGCAGCAATGCAAACTGTAAGGAGGATTCCCTTTCACTGCTGTCCGCTGAAAACGTGACGACCGTCAGTGTAAAATTGCCCAACCACCGACTGGACGTCACGTCACTTCACGTCACATCTCACCTCTTGAATCGTAGGGCGGAGAAGAAGTTACTGTACAAAGAAATACAACACCGTCATAGGCTGCTGGAGTGTGTGGCGGTTGCATTCCACGGTTCCACGGTCCACCTCGGTTTCGTCGTCGAGCAGTTGTCGTCGGGCTAAACATATCAGGATCTGTTTGCCACGTGGAGGAAGAGTAGCCTTTGTTCTTCCTCGAGGTTTGGGGAACGGGGCACCTCACTGGCGCACCGTCTGCTACCCAGTAGGCGGCTAGCAGGCTGTATTTCCAAAAGAAGTGTCCCTACGCGGTTCGCTTTCATCGTTGCTTGCAATTAGAAAGCGACTACTGACTTTTACTGCTCTGATTATTAGTGGGCATAAACGGGTGGAACATCCAGATAAGTGATAGGTCCGAAATCTATGAAGTGCACTGGAAGGCTTGCTAACCTTCGAGTTGTATCCCGTGTCATTCCACAGCCTTCTTTTCCACTCATGTGGAGCTTCATGACAAAACTATTTAAATTTCACAAATGAATCTCGGACTTTGGGTGACCAGGGACACACCCACTGCACCGCATCGGAAATCACGAATTTGGGCTGGCTGGCGAGGGAGCCCCTTCATTGATCTTGTTCGAACCTTCCTGTTTCGTTCCGTTCGGTTCCACCTGTCATTCCGTCCAGGAAAGATTGCAAATTATCGTCGGAAAACCAGCCTCCATTACGCTCCGCTCCCTGCTCCCTCCATCAGCAGTTCGGTCACCTGGCCCAGCCCAACCGTCTGTCTTGTAACCTACGCCTTTGACTGAACCATCTCTTGGGCCATCGTCTGGTTATCAGATCCCAATTTCATTTCGTTCCGAGTGTGTTCTGCTGCGCGATCCTCCAGTTTCTGCATTTTTGCCGCAGTTTATTAGAGCTGTTTTCAACAGCCAGTGAATGACATATCCACTAAATATATTTCCTATCACAGACCCAGAGCAGCAACTGTCAGTCTATCTGGCTGCACTTTCGGCGTCAGTGCTTCCTAGCGCTCCGGCGTAACCTGTGTCCCGTTTTTTAAACCAGGACGGGTCCCATTTCACCCACTTTCTATAGTCAAGTCTCCTGGCAAAGGGGCAGTGATTGGTTGACGGGAAAAAGTGGTCAAGATAGTTCAGCAAACAGCAGATCACTTTGACTAAAGCAGATCAGCGGAGACAGCCCAGATCTCAGCATCATTGGCGCGCAGTGCAGCGCCGCAGCGCGTTGACCGTGCCGTGGACCACACCGCGATCCCTGTTCCTGATCCTGCTCCTTCAAGAGCTCCCCTCGGGTTCGCTTTCGCCGTTCCGTCCACCACCCGCGGTCCCGCGGCGTCGCGACGTTACCCTCCGCCATGATTTCATCTCAAGCTCTCCGGATCCCCGGGGGGGCTGGCGCGTCCGGCGCGTCCGGCGCGGCTGGTGCGGCTGGGGCCTGGGGATTGACGGTCTCTGTGCCTGTGCCAGCGGACCGGTATAAAGGAGGAGTTACGCCTGTGGCATGCACAGTAGCGCATACGAATCCATCCAGCGCAAGGACAAGCGTTTCAGGTATGCGGGGAAGGCTTGTAAGGCGCCTAAAAAGCTGCGCCAGTGACGTGCACAGTATGTCGCAGGAATCCGTCGTGCGCGAGTGTAACCGCCCGTCGTGCGCGAGTGTAACCGCCCGTCGTGCGCGAGTGTAACCGCCTCAGGTATGTCTTTCTCGGAGAAGGCTGGCAGAACCGGGCTGTCTTCCTCCCCTCCCTTCCCTCCCTCCTCCGCTCTCTGTCTGCCCGCCTGTCGCTTCTCTCCGCCCTTCCTTCACTCCTCCTTCCCCTCCCCAATCCTCCCTCGTCTCCCCTCCTCCGTGTTTCTTCCCCCCTGTCGTCCTTTCTTCTAGTTCTGCCCCTCGCACTGCTCTGCGAAGCATCGAATCAACTATTTTACCCTCTTCGCACTCCTCCCGCGCTCATACTCTGCCCTCTTCCCCTTATACCCCCGCCCCGCCCTTCGCCCTTTTTCCCCTTCCCCCCGGTTCCCCCTTCTCTCCCGCTCTCTCCATTCCCCCATCCGCGACCCCATCCCTTTCCCGTTTCTGGACAGCATCGGTTCACTTGAACCAAGGAATCCGCGTTAGAAGCTGTGTAACCACGACCGCGCATGTCACCAGCAGAAGCGGAACCATCAGCAGCTCCTCTTCCCCCACCTTCGGAACTCGCCCTTTCTCGTTGGAGACGCGGTTTCGAGTCCCGGCGACGCCATGCGCGCCCCTGGTGGGGAGGAGGGCTGCGCGGAACGGGGCTGTGCGGAACGGGAGCGCGCGGAACAGCCTGGCGGAAGGGCAGGGGATGGGGGAGGTTGTAAAGAGCGGAGTTACCCGTGCGCAGGAGGGGTTGGATGCGTTCGTGCGGTTTACCCGCCCGCACACCATGATTGGCACGGTGAGTCCGTGGGTTGAATGACTTGACTGACGTGACTGACGTCACTGACGTGACTGACGTGACTGACGTGACTGACGTGACTGACGTAACTGACTTGACTGACTTGACTGACGTGACTGACGTAACTGACTTGACTGACTTGACTGGCTTGACTGAGTTGAATGGAAACGTAAATCGCTGTGGCTTAAGTTGTTGACTGAGCCTGTGTTGTTTTGTCACTTGACTGAGCAAACGGTTTACTCACGCACGAGCAACAGATTTAAACAAGAAGGATGGGCAAGTGATGAGCGGGAGCAAGAGATTGAAGCAAGAAGTATAATCAAGTAATAGGCGGGAGCAAGACGTATGGAACGAGTCACAAAAAGAACTGAAAGTTATCCGTAGGAGCTATTTCTGGGTCACCCATACTCCCTACCTACCTCGTTCTTGAGCCGCAGCTGCTGTGATTGAGGCGCCACAGGAATCCAACCTTCCCCTCTCTCTTCCTGTTCGTTCCATTTCCCCGCTCTCCTCTCCCGCTCCTCTCCCGCTCCTCTCCCGCTCCTCTCCCCTGCTGCTCTCCCCTGCCCCTCTCTCCCCTGCTCTCTCTCCCCTGCTCTCTCTCCCGCTGACCACTCACCGCATGGCAGACCATCAGCATTGTGTCCGTGTCTCTGCTTGCGGCTGCCTCTGTCGCCGATCTCAACACACGCTTCATCGTCGGCCTTTTACAGGCAAATTTGCTTGATCAAGTCTTCTCAAACAGCGACACACACACACGTTCCCTTATAGCCCGCATAGTCGTCTTTAGGGGCTTTCCTTGGCGTGGCATTATACAGGCATACCCTTCAGTTTGTGCTCTGTGTGTGGTCCCTCCCTGCACGCGCACTATACCCCTTGCGCTGTCTCTTCCAGCGCGGAATATGTGCTCCCTTCTGAGTCACTCGCGCTGTGCTTGCACACATTCCGTAACATTGGTCTGGTGTTTCCACGTCATTAGGCCCTGTGGACACGTGTAATGGGACACGCCTATGAGGCTCATGCCTGGTTCCGTTTTGCCACTCTCTTGCTCTCACTGCCTTGCTCACCCACTCCCATCCCATCTAACCCACCCCCTGATTTGTATTGGAGAAAGAAGAGAATGAGAAGGAAAGAAACCTCTCACTGCCTGCTGCTGCTGCTGCTGCTGCTGTCCATCCCGTCTGTGCACCCCTGCTGCTCTCCCCCCATATTCTTGCTGCGTCACGTGAATCCGCTGCCTCTGTGTCACCCTCTCCTTCTCCTCGTTTCCTGCCTGATCTGGGCCGGGCCTGATCCTTCCAACCTCTCCAGGCGGTGGTGCCAGCGCTTCTGGCAAACGTGTACATCGTGGGACTCAACCAGCTGTTTGACATTGAC